AAGTAGTAGGAGTGAAAATCAGGTTCATGTCATGTTAAGTTCATGTAAGAGTTGATGTGGCACAGTGGACAGAACACAGAATTTGCTATTTGAACCCTAGATCTTTCTCTGACAGATTTCCACTGGTCTAAATAAGTCAATTTCTTGAAATCTAACTTTACTCATAAAATGGAAACCAATGCATCTTAGACTTAGGAACTATACTGGATTAAATAATACAATTAGGGAGAGATGGTCAAATGCTACTTATGTGTTTCATTTTTACTTCTTGAAACACCATTTTCAGAATTTTCACCAGACTCTCTCATTAAACAATTCTACCTACAAGAAGCTTGAGAAACTTCTTTGAAGAAATCCAGACAGAGCAATGAAGATGTAGCATCAGATTTCAGTCTTTGGAGGACTCACTCACCCTGTAGTCACCTGTTTTGTTCAGGATTGTCCTGCCACAATCAGAAAGCTGTGTTATGATACAATGTCTGTGCCTAGCCAAAGGAATCCATCACTGCACAACCAGAGGGCATCTAGGAGATTTGGGGCAATTTTAAGTTAAAAAAGTAGATGTTGCCATGATTTTATTAGAAAAACCCAGCGTGAAGCTTCCCAGGAAAGGCATTAGAAGATGATATTTGTTGTTGGTTATTCTGCACCTTGAGTTGTGTGAAATATCCCTGCCAGAAACACCCCACATCCCACCAGCAGGGAGCTCCATCCTTCCTCTAATTCCTTCCACTTTTTATTCATCTCCTTTTCCTTTCATCTTGTGTCTGTGCCTTATTGAGTCTTGTAATGTCTTTGTGTTTAAGACTGTCCCTGTATTCATGCTGTTCATGAAGTAATTACAGCAGCAACCAAAATTCATTATTACATTTACAAGACACCAACTGTCCACTGTTGCCAATTCTTGGCACCCATTCTTAATGAGACATGAGGAGAATCTGAACGGTTTCCTGCTCCAGATAGTTTAAAGAAAATGAATTTGAATCCTATGTCTTTTTCCCTACCAACATTCCAGTAGGAGAGTGGAGATGTTATAAAATAGACAAAAGTTAGGATGAAATTTATGAACGTAATGGTCAGTTCTCAAAATCTCTGAATTTGAGACCAACCGCCCTATAAAGCTGTTTTCCTATTTCTTTTATGAGTAACCAAATTATGGTTATTAGATTTGGGGACTCATCTGAGCCCACAGGAAGCTGGTCTGGGTGGCACCTGGGATTTAAGTGACAAATTCATTTATAGACATGTTCCCAGGGACTTCTCTGCCACAAAAGACAATGAGTCTCAAAGGAAAATGACAAGAAGATATTCTCATTTTGAACCTAAGGGAGGAACATGACTTTCTATGAACAAAACCAAATTTATTCACATAAATGTGTAAAAATAAATTTATCTTTTAGAGGCACATATCTCAACAAATCATTACTTTTTAAAGTATGATGAAGCTAGGGAAAAATATCAAATAAGTGATGATTTTAGAGAAAAGTCTAAGCATCAAAATAGTAAAATAAAGGAAAATTAATTTGCCTTTGTCTCTAAGTGTGCTACTTCCTCTAATCTGTTATAGACCACAGACTCATTTTAAGACCAAGGTCCAAGAGATTTCAAGACTTGAATTACCTCATAATGATATTTTTAGTTACCACACTGTCTTTTTTGACAATGCACTGAAACAATCTGTAAACAAATAAACCTGAATTTCTTGTTATTTTTTTTAGAAAGCATTAGTAACATGGCACATTATATAAATTATGATATCGCTAGGCAGAAGAGCTGAGAAGGTAAGATGGCAATGAGAAAGTTGTATTTCTGAGGTAAGGGTCTTACTTATCACTGGATGCTGTAGGATTATCCTTCCCTGCCATATAGCTGAATGTTTTTGATTGTAGATAACTTAGATTCACTCAGAAATAAGAACAGAGATGCAAGTAAGTGTTAACAATACATACTGGGGCAGTTTTTATAACATCTCTCATTTATTTGGGCCTTGGATTGTTCGTTTTAAAAGTTGGTATGCACAAGACAGAGAATTGGTAGGAGGGGAAGCCACACTAGTTAGTGAATGACCTGTTGGCAGCTTGATGTTGGTTATGGGAAGGGTATTTGCACCAAAAGTGGCAGACCATACCCTCTTCATGTCTTTTTTTTTTTTTTTTTTTGAGACAGGGTTTCTCTGTGTAGCTTTGGAGCCTATCCTGACACTCACTCTGGAGACCAGGCTGGCCTCAAACTCACAGAGATCCACCTGCCTCTGCCTCCTGAATGCTGGGATTAAAGGCATGCGCCACCAATGCCGGGCTCCTCTTCACGTCTTAAGAGCTGTTCATTGAACACTCAACAGCATACTCCCGGTGCTCACAGACACTTGAATAAAGAGTTCTATGATCCACTGAGTTTTGGAAACACAGATTTAGACAACCTAACACTCCTTCCTTCCGTTCTCTTATTCTCTCTTTATTTTGTCCTTCCTCCTTCCTTTTTTTATTGCCCCATAAGAAACACCAAGGAAGAGGTATATGACCTCTCATTACAACACTTAATAAGAAATTATTCAGATGTACATACATATCTCTATCCTTAAAGTATGATCTTTGACATGGCTAATCTCTCATTCCCTTCGTTTTCTCTGCTTTCTCTGAGATGTATTTTTCATTTATTTATAAGCAGCGTGCGATACTTTCTATACAGAATATTATTTTTCACAAGACAAAAGAGCATAAATACACACAATAAACTGAAAGTCCTGTCTCTACTGGTTTTTTTCAAGGCAGATATTCCATGCTTTAGGGTGATGAGTACTTGAATCCCCAGAAAGGTTCTAGACTCTGCTGGAACATCCAAATAGTTCCTGTGGGTACCAATTAGCATGTTAAGTTCATAGCTATTATTTAGAGGCCGGTTTCAGGACTAGTGGACTAATAGTTTTTAAGAGAATGCAGAGTTATGAAATTATAGTAAGTGAGTACTTCTGGAAATAGCCATTATTTCATATGCAGATGAATCCCATCACGCACACAGAGATCCAGTTTGAGGACAAGCTTGAGAAATAAAATCAAATGATTCTGTTAGGTTACTTCCAGCATTGTAAAAACTCACTCACATTGTTTTCAAGCAGTGAGGCACTCAAATCTCTTTTGATGAGTAGCTAGAGACATATACACATAGAAGATTTTGTGAAATTTCAAGAAATGTAATGCTGTTGGTCAAACCCTGTTCTAGAAATGAAGCTTTTATGTCATGCCATTTGAAGTAGAAAAATCAATGGCAATTCTCACTAAGAGTGAGTGATATTTAAGGATACATACACAGATCACTAACGGAGGCAGTTTTAAAGTGCCCAGAAGAAAGTTGGGACCTGTGAAGTCTATTTGAAGCCCAGCTTTTACTTCAACTGATCTTGCTTATTAATTTAATTTAATTAATTTTGCTGTACATTTTCAGGTTTATGCCCAGTGCTTCAACTAGTGTTAAAGGAATATTTGAAGATTAATTAACTTTAAGCATGATTTATTCAATTAGCCCCTTTGGTTTGTTGTCAGAGAGCCTTTAAAGGTGAACTAGAGAGACAGTTACTGAAAACAGTTTGGACACACATAGTTTATTTTTCCAAGATAATAGGATCACATTGGAAAGAATGACATAGATGTAGCAGTGCCTCTTCTTAAGGGCTAGACTGGAGAGCTTGTTAGCACTACTTGGGTTATGCGTTAAGATAATTGTTAAAATAAGGTGTGACGTTAAGTGACTAACACAAAGCCTAAAGTCAAGGCAGATGATGACATGGATTAAAGGAATTACCGAACTCTTATTCCAGGACACATGGATAAATCTTAAAGATGGCCTTCTTTAAACTCACCCCATGTCTTATTGAAGTCTGCAATAAAAAAAACCCAGTCTGGTCTCAATGTGCTAAATGCTACCGCTGAAAGGGTGTTAGCCTGAGAGAATCCAGTGGTGAGCTGTAAGTGACACATGCATGGAACTGTTAACAATTAACCTTTTTCTCCTTCTCAGAGTTCACAGAATTCCCCAGGGATTTGGTCTACAGGAAACTAGACCTAGCTTTTTATCTCCTCCTCCTCCTCCTCTTCCTCCTCCTCCGCAAACATTGCAGAAAACATTAGCTGCTGACTAAATTAAAGATGAAGTTGCGACTAGCTGTGTGATATGGTGATATCACATATCCACTGGCTAGTTCAGTGGCGAAAGCAACTGGCATAGAGGAAGGCTGGGGAGACGAACTTGAGAACATAAGCACTGAATAAAGCCGAAGTCCAACTTACAATGAACAGAGCAAATAAATATGTTATCAACCATTCCTGTTAGAAGCCAGGATTTTCAAATTATGTTCAAATATTCCTAAAGGATAGATTATAAATTCTCATTTTGTTTGAGGATGGATATGTAGGAAATGCCAGTGATGTGTCAGGGAAACTTTCACTCCCCTCTACCTCCATTTTGCTCAAAAAGAGAACTCCAGCAGAAGGAAAATGGTTTCTACTATGCAAATATATTCCTTTTAGGAAAAGAAACAATGAAAGTTGAAATGAGATGAATTCCTGTGAGCAGAAAAATTATTTGTTGAAGTTTCCATTTAATTTTGTGACCTACAGTCAAATATAATATATAAACTCTACATGTTTACTGAGTAAATAGTAGGCAAGCAAATGTATAGGTTAGTTTTTATTTATTTATTTATTTTAAATTTTAATTAGAAAGAAAATTATTTTATATGTCAATCCCAGGTCCCTTTCCCTTCCCTCCTCCCCTGACCCCCTTCAACTAACACCCTACCTATCCTATACCCTTTCTGCTCCCAAGGGAGTGTGAGGCCTTCCAAAGGGGGTCTTCAAAGTCTGTCTTATTCTTTATAGGTTAGTTTTTAAACTGGATGAGGGTAGCGAAATGAACAAGCAGAAAAAAATTCAAAGATGGCTAAGAACCTTTATACAACATACATCTATGAATTCAATTTGTAGCAAATTAATATTGCTATTCTTTTATTTTGTATAGAATGCTTTAAGAATTTGTGTTATCCTTGCCCCAGGGCTATGCTGTTCTTCTCTGTATTGTGACAATATTAGTGCATATGTTACTGAAGATGGTACAATATTGTTTCTTATAATAAACATACGCTTTGGGTAATACTTGTGATCTTACTTTATGGTCCCCATTATTCCTAAGCTTGCACTTGCCTCACTGATGACAGTCTACTAATGCCATTAGAAAAATGTAGCTTCCGGGAAAGTGGTTACCCCCAACTCTTTGAAGGACCAGGGTACTGTAGGATTCCTTACCCTGTGTCTGTGAGTATCACACCCATCCCTCCACTCTTTCATGGATACCACTTCTTCGGATTTCACTTTTTATTTGCAACCATATTGCCTTTTAAATCCTCAAGCTGAGTGACCATATGCTGTCCTCCAGGTGGGAAGCCTATGTTCACACCCAGCTTCATTTCCAGCAGCAGAGCTGAGAATAGCAGACCTGGCTGAGAACCCCACTGTTGTGCTGTCCCTGGAGCTTGCGCTTGTCTCTCAGTTCCCTCCAGGGGATTTAGCTAGCTCATCTCTAAGATCACATTCAGCTCTGTCTATGAATCTTGGTATCTGTGGCTTGAAGATCTTCTACATTAACAACAGTATATGGAACATTCCATTTAAAGATCTGGCTGTCTGATAGTCCAGGTAGATAGAAAGAACAGAAAGGTGGTGAGATACCTCTGAGGAGGTTGCCATGACCAAGAGCAGATGTGGGTGGTGACTGCTCTCTGGGGGCTTCTGCAGAAAAGCTGTCTTTCTGTGCTGTCTTTTCTACGGGTTGGAGCACTGGGGCTTATCTGCTCTCTGGTTCATGCACTGAAAAGATTATAATGCCTTCCTCCCCCAACTTGGTATGTACTTCAAAATCAAAATATTTCTTGAACATGAAATAACAAATTTAAACAGCTACTAAAATAATCCCACAGGATGATTTTTAAGAGTTTGTTTTATCTATAAGAAGCTTTTCTGATTGTTAAGTTTTGGATACGTTCAGGGAAGCCTAAATTTGGTTCCTGTTACTGTACGTATACATTTGAGTTTTTACGCTGACATTGAACACAAGTCTTAAATTTCCCCTCATCATTTTTAAACACTCAAGTGTGCAAAACTGTGAGCCTAAATCCTGCACCCACATACCCAGCTCTAGCCATGGGATAACCCCACTGAGCTCTCCAGCCTCTATTCTATTTCTGTGCTCTGTGGTGTTCTCAATTGGTCTAGGGGTTCACCAGTCACTTTTCTCTTCCTTCTTTCTTTTTCTTCCTTCCTTCTTTCCTTCCTTCCTTCCTTCCTTTCTTTTTTGTTTTTTACAAAATACATAATTTTTAGATTTGAGTTCAGAGTAGAGAATCGTAAGAACTATAAAAATGACTTAGAAATAACATGAGATATTAAATCTCCAAATTTTAGAACCCGAAATATCAAATTCTAGAGTTTATATTAAACCTCTTTGAAAATATTATATTCTCTCAAGGGATAAAAGGGGAATCAAAATTAGACACATTGATGAAGTCAGTGTGTTCTTCTCACCAGTCACTTTTTTATCAGTAATTCCAGAAAGCTCCTTCCAAGTCCACCCTGGATGCCACTCAACACCCTATTTCCTCTTAGCTCCAACCACCAATTTCTACAATGTTCTTTCATGCAACTCATAGATTTTGCAGCACTTCTTGGCTCTCTCTCTTCGTTTTACTCTTCAGTCTCTGATTGCCTCCTATCTTTCACACTGGCTCTGTTCACTTTCTTAGTAAACCATGGCTGCATCCTCCTTATGCACTAGCCACGGTATTGGAGACTGCAGCACTACAGGCTCCACCTTCATGGAGCCTGTAGACAAGGATGACTTTGACCTCTTGCACCTTCTTCACACTACTCTTTTGGTGGCCAATCCCTTGGTTCCGATGTTCTAGCTGATGCTGTTGTTGGTCCTTTGATCCACTTTTCATATGGAGCTGTCAGATTTCCTGAGACACATAGATGACAACGTCATATTTTTGACTCAAAAATCTTCGGTAGCTCCCTGCTCTCCACTGTGAAGCAGCCTTTTGGAGTGGCGGCGAAGGCTGATCCCAGAGCCCGAAGGCTGGGCCCTACTATGAGAATTAGATAGGCTTCTGCCTCTAGATCTCCTTGAAATTCACTAAACTGGAGAGGTTTGCTAGGTTGGGATGGTGATTATAGTGAATTTTAAACACCCTTTCTACCTTTATTTTCTATTTACTGTTCCTCTCGTCTTCTGTGCCCTGTCCCTTTTTCACTCAAGGACTTTTTTAAGCGTTGGGATACTGTTTTGCACACGTACAGGAGATTTCTAAGAATATAACATATTTTTTTTTCTAGAGAGTTCTGTTCACTCCAGCCTCATGAAGTTGGGGAATCTCTTTTGATTTAGCCATAGGAGCAGATGGCTCAACACTTCTCTGCTGTCTAATCTCTTGGCGTGAAGGCAGTTACCTCTGCAGCCATTAGCTACTGCCCACGCAGGGCTCCCATTGATCGCTATACAGGCGGTTAGACAGGAGAATCAGGGCAGCTCAGGATGACAATTGCTTCACGTTATGGCTTCTAGCGCAAACTCATCCTCTGTTGCACAGAATAGCAGAGCAGGTGGGAAAATAATTACTCTTTCCCAGGTTGATGTCTGGCCACTGGCCTTCGTCGCTGTGGTTTCTCTGCAACGTCCAGCTGAGGATCATGAGCGATGCTGCCTCTGTGTAAGAGGATTCTGCCTGAATGTGCTAAGGCTTCCTTTCTATAACTAAACATTCCGAGGAACAGAAGGGGCACATTTGGCACGGTTAGCCTCTGAAGCACTGCTGTTTAAGAATAGCTGTTTTTATACATGAAGCAAATATGGTTGTGAATGTATCTAGATTTATATCAGAAAAACACTGTCTGATGCCAGAATGGATGTATTTGGGCCCACTGACAATACCCCCTCTTTTGGAAGGTTCTATGACACATTTGTTGTTGAGTTATGTTCATCAGAGCCACATAAGGAAAAGCATGGAAAAATGATAGTCTGTTGTATATTACCATGATGTTCCCGAGTTATTCAGGGTGATTATACTGATTCTGAAGGTATATCATGCTGACTACCAGCTTAAGTATTACACACTGCTGTGCCCCCTCTGTGACCTCTGCAGCTATGGTGTCTGCCTGCTGGCTTCATGGGCCCTTGTGTGCAGAGAAGAGTATGATGGGGAGATAATGAGAAAGATTCTCAATCGTATAACATTACATTAGAGATTACACACTTGAAGCTCACTGGTAGGCACCAAAGGACAGTTTCAGTTAAAAAGAAAAGAATATTGTGTGTGTGTATGTGTGTGTGTGGGGTCTGCCATGTAGCTTATATAAGATTTTGGTTATTTCTTCGTAAAATTATACTTTGTAAAACCATGTTCACTTTGTTTAGAAAATGATAATTTATCTTTAGTGGAATATTACTCATGTTAGTCATTTTGGTGGCTATTGTGAGTTATGAATAAAACAAGTTCTAGGAACTTCCTACTTGCCCTGTGGTTTCATTGGCCCGGCTTTCCCAGATAAAAGTTAGTTTTAAAACAGTCCTAGGCATCTTCTGTCTCTACATTTAACTATTTCCTCCCTATAGCCTTCTTCCTCAGGTGAGTGTGAACAGTGTCAATCACATGGCCAATGTTCTATAGACTAAGTAAATGCAAAGGAATGAATTAAAAACAATGTTTTGGGAAAAATGGTATAAGTTGGACATCATCAGTAGCTCATGTATGAAGTGATTTTAGGGCTTGCACCAAAAGAATGAGATTTTACACAGATGGGTAGGAGTCAATAATTATGTTAAGAATACAAATCTGCTTCACACAAATTGTTATTCATGCTTATTGTAGAAAATATAGTTGAATATAGATTGAAACAAAGTTTCACTTTCCAGCGCCATCATCTTAATATTTTGTTGTACGTTTTCCCCAAATTTCCCCTCTGTGATCTATATGTATATATAAACATGTATATTCAATATATAACTCTGTGTAATATATTACACATGTTAAAATAAGCATGCATGTCTATTCAATTGTGCTTAAAAATAAAGCTATGTATTTATGCATATTTAAATATATTTTTAGCATCTGTTTTTGTCTCCTTGATTAAACAATTCCTGCAAAGCAGTTTAAATTATTGGTACACTGCTTACCATGGGGCAGACCTTGAGCTCAGTGTTTGTTCTATATGTATTGCTTGGCTTCATCGTTACAACTCCAAGGAGGTAGATATCATTGTGTTTACTTTATAGAGGTGAAACTGAGGACTACACAAAGGAACTTATCAAGGCCACACAGCTGGTGTCTGACCTGGAATTTGAATCCACTATGTTCTGAATCACTGGGCTTTCATGCCAGACATTTCCATGGGCTAGGATAATAATTCATTACACATATAGTATTAAGGGAAATATCTTCAACAAAAGTATATAAATTAGGCACCATGAGCTGCAAAGTACATTCAACACATTTTCCTTATAGATTTTGGTAGGTTCAACCTACTGGCTGAAATTTCCTCAACACGAAAACAAAAAAGATCTAGGTTTGCGCACTCTTCTTCTCCAAACCATTTGTAGGGATGACATTAGGCATTGTACATCCATCAGATTCCCCTCTACTAATATGTGAATATAAGAAGAGGATTGGCCAGGAGTCATTTATTCATATGCAATGTACTGAACATGTTTGAGAAGGCAAGTCAAGGACTGAGATAACAAACAGAGCTGGGTCTATTCCTTTCCTTAAGCAGAGCCTCTTACAGAGCGAACACTGTTGGGTTTCAGGGTGAGGAGTACTTTGGAAGCAGTGTGAAGCTACTGTTGATGGAACTGGAGGGAGGGGAGCCACTTCCTCCTTGCACTTTCTTTCTGAAATGCTGAGATGACAAGCCTACATGAACATTTCATCAGAGGAAATTGAGCTGACAATATAGCATTAGTTACTTGGCTTATTACTGGAGTAAGCAGCATACTGGGTTTCTGTATGCTCTCAGTTAGCCTATTGTAAATTAAGAAATCATCTGGGCCTGGAAGAATTAGAAACAA